GAGGCCAAAGAGGGTTTACTTAATAAATTATTTAGTTATTGCCTGTTTATTATCAGAGAATTTTGGTACAAGTGATCGTTAGAAAGAGTTAATGATTTGTGTCCATTTTTTTTATTTATCTATTTATAATATTTATAATAAATTACTATTATTAAAAAAAAAAATGTTTTAAAATTTGTTAATATTACTTATTAGTAAATTAATAAAAATTCGACAAAACAAAAGTGTCCACAAATTTGTTAATTCTACTCATGAAAATTCGCTTAAAAATTCTCTCAAAAATACTTTTTAAAAAAACCTTTATTCTTAAACATTACTATTATTTTATTGGTTAATTTTGTGTTTGTAAGCTGATCAAAGATCAGCTAGTTTGAGATTGAACAGTGAAAGCTGTTCTATCGAATGAGACTATAACTTTGTCATAGTCGCTGAAGCATGTAGTGACATTTGATCGACAGATCAATGTCAGAGATCAACATTGAAAATGTGATCAGAATGTTATGACATGCTTCAGCATTTTTAAGTTAGAAAGATTTTCATTTTCTCAAAACTAGTTCTTTAAGTCGAAAAAAAGAGCAATTTTTTGTAATATTTAAGAAGTAAAGCAAACCAAAAAAAAAATAAAAATAAAAATACTAAAAACAGAATAAGATAAATAGAAGATAAATTAATTAGAGTCGAAAAAAATACAAAAAGTCATGTGAAAGTCATGTATAATCGAAATTTTTGATTTTTTTTAATTAATAAAAATTTTAATATTTCACAAACAAGTCTGATTTTTTAACAGAAGTGTAATTTGACATGGTTTTTTAAATATCACAGTGATTTTAGAAAAATAAATGCACCAAAAAAATTCTAAAAACGAAATTGAAAAATATTTTTCGATAAAATAAAAATAAATTTAATATTAATAATACTAAAAAGTTATAAATAAGACAAAAAATTTCATTGTTTAAAATCAGACAAGATGTCTAATTTAATATCTTTAAATAAGATGCTTACATTTATTGAATCTTTAAAAATTGTTATTAAATATTCTTGGTTGAATTTATTATTGTTATGTCTTCTTTTTGGTTATTAACGAATTTTTTATTTTATTGATCAGATGTAGTTATTTTTTCATTTAATTTTTTTGCAATAATTTTATTATCGAAATTATTGAATTTTTCTGTTGATGAGATTTGTAAAAAGACAAATAATATTATTGAAGGGTTATTAGCAGCTGCCTTTGGAAATATAATTGAATTGATCATTTTGATTTTTGCTTTAATTCATAGAGAAATTGAGATTGTTCAAACATCTTTATTAGGATCAATTATTTCTAATCTTTTATTGATATTAGAAATGTGTATTCTTGTCAGTGGATATTATTTTGATGAACAAAAATTTAAAAAAATTACTGCACAAACTAATTCAAGTTTGATGACATTATCATGTATAAGTTTAATTATTCCAGTAGCATTCAATATGCTTATTGAAAATAATAGAAATAATTCATTAGAAATAAGAAACGGAGTATTATATTTTTCATATAAGACTTCAATGTTATTAGTTATTATATATTTATTATATTTATAGTTTCAATTGAAAACACATCCTTATTTATTTAAAGATGAAAATAATATAGAATTAGAAAATCAATTTGTAGAAAAAGAAATTTCAATTTCTTTTTATTTTTCTTTATTATTATTAATTTTAATAACTGTTTTTATTGCTATATCTTCTGAATGTTTGATTAATTCGATTGAAGGATTTACAAAAAATCTTAATATTAGTAAATCTTTTGTTAGTATTATTATTTTACCAATTGTTAGAAATGTTGCAGAGGTATTAATTTTTTTATTTTATTTTTAGGTTTATACTGTAGATCATTAATTTATTTAATTATTTTTATTAGCATTTTACAGCAATGGATGCTGCAAGAAAAAATAAAATGGATTTAGCAATTTCTATTTCTGTTGGATCTTCAATGGTGAATAAATTATATAATTTAGAATTTTATTTTTTAATTATTTTATTAATTATTTTTTTATAACAAATTGCTTTGTTTGTAGTTCCATTTTTAGTAATAGTTGGTTGGATTATTAATCAACCAATGAATTTTTCTTTTGGTATTTTTGAAACAGTTGCATTATTTATATCAGTTATATTAACTGATTATATTATCAAAGTAAGTTATATTATAATTTTTTTATATTAATAATATAAATAATAATTTATTAATTTATTAATTTTAGGATGGAAAATCAAATTGGTTGGAAGGTGTTATGTTGATTTTTACATATATAATAGTGGGATTAGCATTTTTCTTTTATCTAAATTAAGATAAATTTAACTTATATATAAGAATATGATTTAAGTATATAATATATTAAAATAAAGTTATAAATAAGATTGATCTAAATTTTAGTATTTATTTTTTTTTTTTTATGATAATTGATTTTTATATTAATAAATTAATAATATAAATTTTTTTTAATAAATTAATAATAGAAAAAATGTATAAAAATATAAAATAAATATTATATTTAAATTAAATGTTGAATGAATTCAGACATATATGTTATACATCATTTCATTGTTTGAATTGTATTAAAATATTTAGTTGTAAACGAAATGATAAATTAAAAAAACATGAAAGAGAAAAATTATATAAAGAAAATGAAATTTCTATTTGTAATTTATGTAATGTAAAGCATTTTAGATGTAAATCAAAAAAATGCACAAAATGTTATGATTTGAATAAATGTGATTCTTATTCTTGTAAACATTGTAGTGAAAATAATATTGAATGTGAATATAGTATTATTAAAACTGAAGAGAAATTTTTAGAATTAAAAAAAATAGGATTATCTGCTTATGTTGTACAATTAGAATATACATCAGATCATAAAGTACATGTTCAAGCATATTGTCAATTTACTATTAAAATAACTAGATAAAAAGTTAAAGAAATGTTTAAAAATCAAACATTATCCTTTCCAGTTAAAATGAAAAGTAGTATGGAATCTAATGTTAAATATGCAAGAAAACATTATAATAAATGTAAAAAGCATGAAAAGAAAAGATGTAAATGTCATTATTCTGAAGATGAAGATTATATATGTGAAGTTTGAAATAATAAATATCCTAAACAGTTAAAAAGTAGAATAGATGGCTTAGCAAGTTTAATTGGACCATTTCAATTTGGGATTTTTCATAATCTTGGTATAAATGATAGTGATGATGATATTGATGGTGATGATAATAGTAGTAGAAATAATAATGAAATAGATGAAATCAAAAATATGTCTAATGCTGAATTTGTAAGAGAAAAGAATGAAATATTACTTGAGAATTTGAAAAGAGTAGAAAATATTAGAAAAGAAAATATGTTATATGAAGAAATTATAATGAATGCTGATACAAAAGCACCATTATCTTGGCATCAAGCACCTAATGGATTTGAAAAAATTCGAAAAGATATGAAATATTTTAAAAAATTAAAAAGAGGTGGAAGATTTTGGTGTCCAGTTGTATTTTATTTTTATGGACCTGGTGGAAGTAAAAAATCCAGATTAGTTACAGAGTTATTTGGTAATGAATTATTTGATAAACAAGAAAAAATAAGAAGTAGTTCAAGTTGGTGAAATGGTTACAAAGGACAAGATATTTTATTTTTAGATGAATTTTATACAAAAATTGATTGAAATACTATAGTTAATTTATTAAATGATAGTAATCATAAAGTTCAAAGTAAATATGATGGATTTGAACACATGACAGCTAAATATATATTTATAACAAGTACTAAACCACCTGAGGAAGCATATAATTTTGTTTTAAGATTAACCGATAATGATTCAAACAAACATGATCCTATACAATTTAATAGATGTCTTGATTTTGTAATCAAATTTACTAGTAAATGGGATGATGATATAGAAAGAAGAACAACAGAGATAATATTTTGTAAAGGTGATGAAAGAAAATTTCGTAATATGGAATGAGATGTTAAATATAGAAATAGAAAATTTACTATAGAAGAAATTATAGAAAAAGGTGAAATGTTTACAAAGAATATTGATAGTAAACATATAATTGAAAATGATACTGTTTATTGGTAACAGAATTTTCCAAAATTTAAAAAAAGATATCTTCAAGATTATCCTAAATGCAGAAAACTTTATCAGTATAGAGAGATAAATGAAAATAATAAAAGAAGATGTGATGATATAGAAAGTGAAAATATAAATAAACGATATAAATCAACAGAAGTAATTGATGAAAATAGTAGTGTGATAAATAAAAATATTAATAATATAGAAGAAGAAATGATAGAAGATATTTCTGCATTTTTAGTTGAAACTGATGAAGAGAATAATGAAAATCAAAGTAATAATAATAGTGATAGTGAATTATTTATTAATTTTATTACTAATAATAAAAAGTATAAATAGTTAATTTAATTATTATTTTTTTTAATAAAATGAATCAACCAATTTTTATTTATATACATGGAGATACCACAAGTGAAAAAATGTTTTATTTTCATAATACTTTTAATAGAAATTTTATTTATTATAATTATAAAAATAAAATATCAAGAACAAAATTTTTAAACAATCTAACATAAAAGTTATACATGAAATGATCAGATCAAATATAAAAATTACTAAATCTTTTATTAGTAAATTTAACAATAAAAATATAAAATTTGTATATTTAGAATTATTGTATCCAATAGAATTTTATAAAATTGATAAGAATCTTAAAGATAAGATTGATTATATTATTAAATTTAATAGAAATTATAATAGTAGTTTAAATAAAATATTATATAAAGAAGGAGAAGAAAAATACCAATTTAAAAAAGATAGTGAAAAAGAATTAATAAATAAATATAAAGAATATAGTTGTTTTAAGAAATAAAATAATAATAATTATTTCTAATAATTATATTATTAATTTATTTAATTTTATTATTAATATTTAGTATTTTAAAATATTATAAATATATACGGAAGACTGGATTAATGACGGTCAGGTCCAACGTACTGAAAAGACTACAGTATCTTTCACAGCTATGCGAGCTGAGCTTAAAATAGTGAGTGACCTTGCAGAAACATCTTCTTACTCCTTGAATTCCAACTCTTCATCTAACTCCAAGGATCTTCTCTGCTATAATATTTTTCTTATTAATCATAATCTTCCAACTCTACTACTTAAACAAATACAACTATCTTTTATCCAATATTTAAAAAATAATTATTTTAACAAACCTTTCAAAATCTCCATTAATAATACACTTACGAAAACACATATCTATAAAAATCTAAAATATAAACTCCTACCTAATCACACATTTCTTCCAAGTTCACATTATCATTTA